ATCTATCTATCTATCTATCTATCTATCTATCTATCTATCTATCTATCGCCTAGTTCCATCTCATCTCCAGGGTCTCTCTATAAACACCAAACTGGCTGAAAACTCAAACCCATTCTCCTGCTTCTGCCACCATGGCTGTGCTCAGTCAAGTGGACTCTAATTGTGTGTGCCAAGACATCAGAGAGGAGGAGTCAAAGGGACTTCTGCTGTTGACCTAGGGTAGCCCCTCAGCCAAGGCAATGAGGATCCTTCATTTGGAGGAGGTCTGGGGCAGCCACCTTCAGCAGCAGCACAACGGAACACCAAGTCCCTTTTTAATTTTCCTCCTCCGACGGACATGCAAGTGGCTCCTGTCATTCTCTGACAGGTTGTGGCAAAGTGTCAAGTATATAGGCCCTCTTGTTCGGGGATGTTTGGCAAAGATACCTTTGGGGCCTGCTTTGGGGGATTACTACAGAAGGGAACAACAGGCCTGAGTCAGCTGATACACAGCACTCAGGTGTGTGCAACAGCTGGGCTACCAGAAGCACAGGGTGTCACCTTCTGTCAGGTTCTGACTCATTCTGAAGTTGTGGAGAACGTCTCAGCAGGAGCTAGCAGGTGGCTCTATGGGTCACCACTTAGCAACCGCCCTCAGTGCCACTGTTGAGCCCTGGCTCACTGTGCCTGCTGTGCTAGGCACCCCCCACCTGAGAAAGCCATGCCCTCTTCTGCACCAACTAGCTCTCTCTAGAACTGGGGTGAGCAACCTATCAGAAAGCAGCCAGGCTATGGGGCTTCACCCACCACCAGCACCAGATGGCAGGGCACTGGGGATGCATGGTCTTAAGAGTGACTTAGATGCATCCTGGGGACCGGGATGGTCCAGGAGCTCGACAGAGACTGCAGATCCTCAATAGGATATGGAGCTGTCGGCCATCTGCTACATCTTGGGCAGTGGCTTGCTTACGGGTCTGTCTGGATGGTTTCATCCTCCCTCCCATTTCCTCTTCCCAGGGTTGCTTATCATCCTCTGGGGTCAAATTTCTCTGTAATCCAGGGACCCCCGTCCTTACTAAGCTGCCTACCCAGCACCCAGGATAGAGGACCAGTGACCACAGTTGTCCTTGGGGCTGCTCTGGCTTTGGAGTGGGATCCGAGGAACGGCCTAGAGAGCACTGCACAGGGCCCCTGGGCTCCAGGCATCCCGTGCTCACACCAAGATCTTGCAGAAGTGTTGCCTCTCTTCTGATGAGCTGCTCTTTGGTCTCAGATACTCCCAGTTTCCATGTAGGTCTCCAGACCCACCCTGCTTGTCCCTGACCCGAATCCTAGGCCCACAACACTCACCCGGTCGCCCTTTATTCCCATGTCGCCTTTGAACCCAGGGAATCCATCTTCACCCTGATCACAGACAAGAAAATGCATCAGTCTACAGAGAAGAACTCTGCTCCTCAACACCGCTTTCCATTGCATGATGGGCCTGCACGGTGCAAAGCCCCCAGCCCGGGGCAGAAGCAGGAGAGCTGTGTGTGGAAGAAACTCGGTGCCTGCCCGGAAGGAAGAAGGCAGACACCTGGCCTCTCACCCAGGTTCTCAGACATTCCTTCTCCCTAGAACCATGCCAGTCTGCCTTCCTGGGCCCCTTGGGACAGCCCAGGAATTTCCCTGGTAGGCCGGCATCCCCACAGAACCCAGTCACATCCTCCCATGCAGCCCTGCCTCATGAAGACAAGACAAAGCAAAGCAGTAAGGCTGGGACTCTAGAAATTCTCTTCAAAAAGGCAGAAGGTCCTCCAGTAACAGAGCCCCCAACAGAGTGGGAATTCTGGGACACGGGGCTTTTCAATCAGCTTTAAGAAGACTTGCTTTCCCCCAAACCCCTAGGAGATTCGCACAGCGGTGTTCTTGGCTGAACAGTTCAGAAGACACACCCATTCCCCTGACCCTGCAGAAGGAGGCCTAGGGTTCTACCCTGCAGAGGCGCTCTAGAAGGAGTAGAGAATGAAAGGTCTCTTTGCCTACTCTTCCCAAAGGGTAGTTAGGAAACACCCAGACACAAGGTAGACCACCCAGCTACTGTGCTGTTCCCACCCACAGCCCTTGAAGCAGTGCCTGGAGAAAAGATTTCAGGCTAGAAGATCACTCAGGAAAGGAGGCAAAAATGTCCACGGGTGTCCAGTGAGATGCAGGGGCGGGCACATCTGCAAGTATGAGCAGATGCAGGTGCCAGCTGCTGGAGCTCGGGCTTGGCAGGCCTTGCTCTCACAGCCTTCAAACCCCAGTGTCCCAGGGAGCGCCACAGCCTGCCACAAAGGGTTGCCATAACCGCTAGCTACGGCAGGATGGCAAGAGGGGAGCCCAAGAGGATGGAGCTCAAGATGGGCAGATCACATCCAAGTGCCAGGCCTCCTACCACCTAACAGAAAGGACAAAAATAGCTGGCTACACAGTTCCACGATGGTTCATCTGCCAGGGGTACTGGGCACTCAGACTAGGGCATTCAGAGGGCCATTATTGAGCTTCATATTAATCAATGATGATCCATATAGGCCTGATATGTGGCCTTGACCACGGCAGGCAGCACCACATTCCAAAATGTGGCTTATATGTGAGTGTGAGCCATCACTGAGCTGGACAGGCCTTCACATGTCCTGGTGCTGAGCCCAGACTTTACCCTGACCTGGATGGACTCTGTGCGGGAAGGCTGGGCTTCTCAGGTACTAACACTGACAACTGGCCATGGTGAGGATTGCTGTATGCGAAGAACCCACAGGGAGAGGTTTGGGGAAGGGGGCATGTGACTACATCCACGTGGCTATCCTAGGGCCCTCTGGGTACACTCTGGGCCAGCCCAGGAGATGCTGGCAGTACCGTGGTTCTCGGCAGCTCCTTTCGACTTTTACAAATAAGTAAGCATCAACTCCCCTATACTCAGAGGCAACCCCACTGGGTTCTGTACCACACTGAGCCAGCCCACTCTCAAGTAGAAAGATAGATCCTTACCTTCTCGCCCTTGGTGCCCTTCAGACCTCGGATGCCATCTGCCCCCTGTGCAGGCAAGAAAAGAGAATGCTCACAAACACACAAGACCCGGGGGGGGGGGAATCAAGGGAACAGCTCCCACAAGCAGTATGTTCCAGTATCAGATGAGCCCCATCCAACATATCCCCATCTCAGGAGGGAGAGGCATTTCCTGTACTCACATTGATTGACAGGGGCTCACACGAGGCCCCCAGTGTCCTTCATTCCTACACTGGCCTCTGAATCCTCCTTCTATACAAACACCCAAACTTCTTCCTGGCCAATTACTCAAAGGTCTGGTTTTGCCTCTTCGAGGACCCAAACCCCGCCAACACTTTCCCATGCTAACATGCCTAGAAATAGTCCCTCAGCCCTTGCAACTAGGAAGAACTCAATGTGGGCAGGAAAGTTAAGATCCTGACCCTGTCCTCTGGCCTCTGATGATGTCCCAGACATCTGTATGCCTCAGTTTCCTTATCTGGTAGTAGACTGATGAGGACCCTAGCCTTGTTTCTGCTGTTGGGGAAGAATGGTCTGTAATCTCAGGACAGTGACCCGTGCATACTAGGCACCGTCTGTTTGTGTAACCTCTGTATGATCATTGACAGGTGACATGGTATTACATCACTAATGCTACAACAATGGTTGTGGCTCTCCTCAGCCCAGGATGGACCACCTCACCTCCCTGCTAGACATAGCTCTAAGGACATAGACCAGACCCCTTTACTCCCGTTCTCAATAGGCCTAGTGCCTCTGCTGACGGAAGTGAAATCATGAAATCTAATGACAGATGCAGCCACATCCTCATGGTCCATGACCTTTGACCTCAGGCCTCTGAGAGGAGCGACATTTACCTACATGGACAATTGACTCCAGGAGCTGCCCCAGGCTGCCTTTTCATAGGACCCCAAAGGAGCCACGTGACCGTTTCTGCTGGCTGAGGCTGCAGCCTAGGCCTGAGCCACTTTCTGGACCCAGGAGCCACCAGCTGCCCTCTGCTGGCCAGAGCTCCACACAGACTTGTAGTTCTGAGCTTTTCGTTGGGCCTAAGAAGAGCTTCAGAATGGAGGGTGGAGACACACAAACCCAGGAGCTCAGACTGTGGTCTGGGTCTTGACACAGGAAGCTAGGAGCTACAAACCAGGCGCACGGGTACCATGAGATCATAACCACTGGAGGGAGAGAGGGCTTGGAGCATCAGGGGGCAAGTCCATTGCTGGCAGCATCCCTACTCCGTATCCCATGCTGCACGGCTTGAGATGTGGAATGGAGGGGCAAGAGGACAGCCATGGAGCAGGGAATCTGGGTGGTAGCTGTGTCAGAGCATTGATCGTTGATCACTCATCTTGACACTGGGTAAATGGATGTGGGTTGACATTGAAGGTGTCCAGTCTGTTAGGACAGTGGCCCTGGACCTGGTAGTTATAGATGGGGAAGGCCCTGGAGAAGCAATGCCTGCTCTGTGCTTGTTCAAACCTGAATCAGTGGTGGATGGAGAGGGACCTAGGGCAGACACGGAGACATCTAGCATACACATGTCCACACAGATTCTGTGAACAAGGTTTGCCGCAGCACCCAAGCGACAGGAGTGTAAGAACATCTGTGGTCCAAAGGACTCAGGACGGTGCAAATGTGCCCTGTCTGGCGAGCTGCCTTGGAGCTAATGTCTCTGAACACTGTTCTTTTCCTGAGATACCGTCTGGGCATCTAGAAGTCCCCAAAGAAGAAGACAGAGGGTGAGCCCTCCAGGTGGCTGCTCAAGCCCTACCCACCATCTCACCCTTCTAGGCATGTCCATGGGGGAGGGACACAGAACCACCAGAACCTGGCCGTGAACTCTCAGGACCAGGCCTGCTGGCACAGACCTGCAACCCAAACTGCTCCTGAGGCTGAAGCAGGATCCTGAGTTTACGGCCAGTCAACTAGGCAGTTTGGTTAGAGTGTGCCTCAAACCCCAAAGTGAAAAGAGGCCTGGGGATTTAGCTCAGAAGTGGGGTGCGCATCGGATATGTGCAAGGCCCCGAGTTCATCTTAGTGAGAAGGGAAGGAGGGTGAGAGGAGGAGTCCTTCAGCCCTTTCCGCCTTCAGAGGCCGCAGTGAGAAGACCCAGGTAGTGGAGCAGAAAGTGGCTCTAACCAAATAATGAATCTACTTGCTCCTTGACCTTGGACCTCCCAGCCTCTATTTCAAAACCCCTGATCATGGAATATCTCTTACACAGACAGATAAGCCATGACAGAACCCTTTCTCATGGAGAAGTTTAGGTGAGAAATGACCAGCTCTCCCTAGCCGAGAACTTACTATCTTAATGGTGACAGCCAGGACCCTATCTCTGCTGTGTCTAGACCTGGAACTCAGTCAGTGGCCAGCACCACATCTGTTCTCAAGAGAACAAGGAGAGGGATCATCTATTCCTCTTGTGAAACTGTCTTAAAGCTTGCTTTTCCTCTGCTTCCACATCTAGCTGGATTGCTCACGTCATGAGTGAATTTTAATCAGATAGATAGATAAGAGCATCCCCCATAAACATGCTAAAGTAAACACCTTTCAGCTTGCAGAGGAAGGCTTATGCAATTAGCCATGTATAGGAGCTGCCAAAGGCTCGGGGTAGGCGACAGGAATTTGTAAGATAAACACGCATGGAGCTCCCATAATCAGCACTGCTGCTCAATTATCATCCTTAGAGCAGTCACTAGGCATTCTGCTGGGGAGAGCATGCTTAAGGAGCAACCTGACCCGCCTAAAGCTGCTGTCCTTGAGAGGCTGCTCTTCAGGAATGTCTTCGTTTCTGAGACGTGGAAGCAAAGCCATTGGGATTCAAGTCTAGCCTGAGGTACCACGCTAGGTGAGATTCTGCACGGTCTCTGAACAGAGGTCCTGAGTTCTCCACCCTCCCACCCCAGGCAGCCGTGCACCTTGGGTCTGCATTAATGCTGGACAGAGAGGAAGAGCCACAAAGTAGATGAGTGAGGGCAGCAGCCTTGGTCATATTGATAAAAATTCTTCAGACCTAAGAAGTCATTTTGTGTGTGCGCTTGTGTACAATGTGCACACTCACGGGGGCACAACCGTGTTTCCTTTCCTGTCGGGGTTGAAGGAAGGAATTGTTATCTTTTGTTGACAGTGGGAAGCCTGGAGCTTTGAGATGCTGCTAAGTCCCTGTTACGGAGAAAGAAAAGGCCCTGTCCGTGCTCATCTTCTCCACAGGAATGTGCCTTCGCCCTGGGAACCGCGGAACTCCAGATTAAATCACGCAGCTCAGAGCAAACACAGTTAGTGCTGAAGGGACAAAGGGGACCTTGCTCTCAATATTGCTCTGGTATTCTGTGTCCTGCTTAACAAGGTTCCAGGAATTTCTACCAGCAGAAACATGATTGTAAACAAATGGACATCTCCCATAAACCCTGCCTCCCAGGGATCCGAGAGGATACACTGGTCTTTCCTCTTTTCCAACAAGTCAGTGGCTCGAAGGACTGTTGTCTGGGTTTCCCCCGGCTGGCCATGCCCCTGCTTCATGAGATCTACCCGCTGTGAAAGGCTCCTGAGGTCAGCTTGATCAGAAATGGTAAGCACCAGAGGGCGGCCAGTACCACCTACTTCTTCACAGGCTGCCTAGGAGGTAGTCCCTTGCTCTGTATCAGTCTATACCTTGCTTTCAGGCCGTATTCTCACCTGCTCAAACCTGCTGTCCTGGGTCCCAGCATGTGTATACTGAACTGGAGAGTCAGGCTATGCTAGAGTGTTCAGCATGGGGCTTAATCACAGAGGAACTTCCAGAAAGCAGCGAGGATCCATCTGGCCATGCATCCATCCCACCCTGACGCCCGGGAAGACCCAGAGCTGCAGAGTTCCTCTTACCTTGACTCCTCGTGGACCCGGGTAGCCAATGGGACCCTGGGGACCAGGAGGACCCTAAAACCAAAGGGAAAGACCATTAGCTATCTTCAGGTGTGAGTACCCAGGCAACCTCTATGGAACCCCGTAAAGCCGCTTTGGGGATAAGCAGGAGGCCCTGCCTGCAGTCCACACAGATACTGATGCTGACGTTGGAGGAAGCAGAATGGTGCCTTTCAAAGAGCAAAACCGTCTAAGGACAATCAGATGCTGTGTCCAGCTCCAGGAAGCCAGGAGGGGGCGGGAGAGAGGTAGCCATGCAACATAAAGAAACATAGCACTTGCTATGTTTATTTGAGGAAAAAACAAATAAAGGTGTCCCCATCCTAGGCACCTTGAGATGAAGTAATTTTCAGCTGGGGAACAGGAGTATTGTATTCAGGGAAATGACATCCTTCAACAGTCAAAAGGCCTTCCCAGTGACTGACCAGAGCTTACAGTCCAGGTACTGTCCCCACCCTGCCTGGGAGACTGGGAGACACAGAGACTGGCTGCTGGGGCCGGGTGCAGCAGGTGCCTACCTGACCTCCTTTCTCTCCTGGAGGGCCTTCTTTGCCAGGGTGCCCCTGTCACAAGAGAGAAGTCTTTATTAGTTAGCCACCTGCTCAGAAAGCAGCTCCTACCTCTGTGGCATTTGTGTTGGTTCTGAAGCTGTGCCCGCTCCAGAAGAAAGAAGAAGAAGAAGAAGGAGGAGGAGGAGGAGGAGGAGAAGGAGGAGGAAGAAGAAGATGAAGAAGAAAAAGAAGAAGAAGAAGAAGAAGAAGAAGAAGAAGAAGAAGAAGAAGAAGAAGAAGAAGAAGAAGAAGAAGAA